TGAGAGCCATGTCCCAGCGGGACGCCCGCGCGGAGATCTTCCTGTGGAGCTTCGTGCTCTGGTCGGACACCATCGAGATGGTGCGCGTGGCCGGCCACCACGCCGTGTACAGGTCAGCCTGGCTCTACCCGGTCTACCTGTTCAGCTTCATCTCGCTCCTTCGCATTGTGCTCACGCCCCAGAGCCCGCTGCTGAGCGCCCTGGGCGTCCTGCTCCAGGACGTCCCCTTCATTTTCGTCAGGCTCGGCTTACTCATCGACCTGGGCACCGTCACGCCCGTGCTGGGCCTCTGCAAGAACGTGCTGGTGACTCTCTCCTACGGTTACTTCAATTTCTTAACCAAACTCAGGGTTTTCTCCTCCTTCGAATTGTCTTCATTTTAAAAAGGAACTGTACTATAGCTAAGCCTCTTTATTCTGCATGTGGACACATTTGGAATCTTATTCTTTCCTGGGGTATATGTTTTTGCACTATATAAAGGGATGAAACTAGATCGTAGAAAATAAGCTATTTTTTTTTTTAAAAAATGGTACCATCAGGTTTTTTAAATGTGTATAAATGGTGCTAAATTTAAGTAAATTTATGTCCTTATATGTTGACTCCCCTGCATCTCTAGAAAATAGTAGTTAATTTTAGTTAGTTTTGTGTACTGCACCTTTCTTAAAGCACTCTTCAATAAAGCCTGTAAGCTAAATGAGAACGTTTCCCCACTAAGTTCAAGAGGGAGATTTTTCTTATTTAATTAAGCATATTATATTAAATATCACTACAGGAATTAAATAATTGAAATTAATTTCTAGAAAATACACCTGGAGTTCTTGAATAATTTTTAGGTTATACTTTTTAAAAATCTGAATTGTAGTTTTAGGGTCACCTTCAAACATGGAATTATGTTCTTCATCCTACTTTGATAGGTGTATTTTATGTAGTTAATTGATTTCAGCAGAGAAAGCAATTCTGTTTAACAGATATTTGTCTCACTTTAAGGCTTAGCTTTTTTTATGAGTACTAAAGTACTAACATAAAGATTGTTTGATATAGTAAATTCAAGGTACATCAGCAATACCTAGGTAAAATTTTATAATTCTAGGAAGCCATAAATTTGAGATGTAGATATCAAAGCAAAAGAATATTTTGGGGAATTTGATACCATCATAAAAATAATCACGTACAAGCCCCGTTTAAAATTAGAGTTCAACTTACAAATGTACTAGTTAGTGTCTTACGTGGTTATCATATAAAACGCATAGCTTGATGTAAATAATTAGATACATAATTATGCAATTTGCCTTCACTATGTTGGGACACTCTTGAATATTCATAGTAGGGACTCTTCATTTTATATGAATTTTCTGGTGCTAGAAGGATTTGCAGAGTCTTATGTGTGCAGAATGTTTTACAGAGCCAGGCTCTTCAACGATCTGTGGGAACAAATAGTTTAGAAGTGTAAAACTGAACTTGCCTGTCTCCCCCTACTCTCCACCAATGTCCCCAACTCTCTGTGCTTTCTGCTTTCCCCTCACATTGTCAGGCCTATCTGCAGCTGTTAAAAGCTTAGTTAGCTTCTGGCTTTGACTTTGGGCAAGTTCTTTGACCACTGTAAGCCCTGGTTTCCACATCTAAAAGCTGAGCAATGGCGGGAGTGGAGGGGGATGGGAGTGGGTGATAGAGGGATAGAGGGGATAAAAGGTGATGGGAAGCATAAATTAGAATTTGTGGAAAGTACTTTAATAGGGTTGAGAGGATTAAATGAGGGAAGGAATGTTTTCATCACATTGTCTGGCAAAGAATAGTAACTCAATAACTGTTAAAGTATTTTAATTGTACCAAACAAAAGACAGACAAGTAGCTAAATGCATTATTTTAATTTTCCTTTTGCATTCTTTTCTGCATCT